GGAAATAGTAGCAGATCAGAGATCAGATCAGGGAACCAGAGACGGTCAGAGGAAAGTTTTCAGGCTGAAATTGGGAAACATTCTGGAAAAACCTGGAAGAACTGATCAGGATTTGACACGTTAGAGTTAATAATAATAATAATAATAATAATAATAATAATAATAATAATAATATATAATAATAATAATAATAATAATAATCAGAATAATCAGAATAATCAGAATAATATTATTATTAATAATAATAATCAGAATAATATTATTATTATTATTAATAATAATAATAATAATAATAATAATAATAATAATAATTAATAATAATAATAATAGTTCTCTTCCTGCGGTTCTCCACAGTTCAGCTCTTCGCTGCTCTAATAATAGAAACTCTTTATTTCCTGAATCAAAGCAACAAAAAAAGAATCGTTTCACTTCAGGAAGTTTAATTTAGCAAACCTCAGTTATTTTTACCAGCTTCAGAAAACTAAAATATATTCATAAAGGAAGAAACTGTCAGAGCACAGGCTTTGATCCAGAGCAGCTGCTGGTTGGTTCTGACCAGCAGAACCAGGCTGGGTTCGGTTCTGGGCTGAACTAGGAATCTGGGCCAAGCTGGGATGATTCAGAAATGAAGAACCTGTACATTAAACTTCAATGTCAGGTTTCACACAGTTTGACGGCAGCAAGAACAGCAGAGCTGAGCTGCCAGTAAAAAACCAGTATAAACCAGTAAAAACCAGTAAAAACCAGGACATGAATACTGAATGTTTTAAGCAGCTCTAGATGCTGAGAGGGAGCATGGTGCCCCCTGCTGGTGCATTCTGGGTAATGTGAGCTCTTTGCCTTCAGAACAGCCTCAGGCTTTGACTAGGCCTCAGTTCATCAGGGAGACAAACAGAAACACAAAAGAAAAAGAGGCTGCAGGTAAAATTACATATTTTAAAACTTTATTGCAACAAAAATCCTGAATATTTTCAGCGTTTTATTAAAAACAGATAGAATGTGAATAAACATGTCTGGAATCAGACATTCCCATGGCAACAAAGACTGAATCACATGTGACACTTGTGTGGGTTAGCATTATAGTGACCCTGGGTTAGCATTAGCATGACCCTGGGTTAGCATTATAGTAACCCTGGGTTAGCGTTAGCATTATAGTGACCCTGGGTTAGCGTTAGAATGACCCCTGGGTTAGCATTTTAGTGACCTTGGGTTAGCATTATAGTGACCCTGGGTTAGCATTATAGTAACCCTGGGTTAGCTTTAGCGTGACCCCTGGGTTAGCATTATAGTGACCCTGGGTTAGCGTTAGAATGACCCCTGGATTAGCATTATAGTGACCCTGGGTTAGCTTTAGTGTGACCACTGGATTAGCATTATAGTGACCCCCGGGTTAGCATTGAGAGCTAGGAGTTTCTTCTGTAACTGTCGGGTTGTCGATTTGAATCTTCACTCCGTCTGTCTCCATCGTTGCTGTTTTCCCTTGTAAGACCCTCAACCCACCTCGCCTGCTGCTGGTGGTCCGGTTGGGTCCAGTGAGGTCCTGGCAGCCTTGGTTCTGTTCTGTGAATTATTTCCAGGGATCATCGAGGCGCCGTTTGTCTCTGATGTTCTGTTGCGGCGAAGCGTGAACTGTTGCAGATCCAACATGGCCGCTGATGTTTTCCTGCCAGTCATGATCAGAGCTCATTAGTTTCTCTGCTGGTGAACAGAAATTGCCTGACTGCCGTCTCTCCCCTGCAGTGTTTGATGAAGCAGACCTGCAGCATCTGGCCAGATGTAGGTCAGTGTGGAGGCGGTAATGACATGGCGCCGCCAGGAGGGTGCAGCATCACTCTGGATGAATGCAGCCAAGAATCTGACCAGTTTATTAATGACATAATGTTGTTTTATTGGATAATCTGCAGCTGTTAGCGCTCATATTAGACCAGAGTTCATGTTCAGGTTTGTTATGGTAATCCAGATCTGAATCTGGATTAGATGTAAACATACAGCTCAGTCTTCCAATCAGGTTTCCTTTACAGACGGCTAATAAATGTTATTAATTCAGCCATAAGCACTTTATAAACCATTAATAACTGCTCATTAAGCATTAATTAAGTGCTGTTTGCTGACTGAGTTCCAGAGGTTCTGTTGGACCAAGCTCCAGTCTGGCACTAGGAACAGCCAACTGGACCATCTGTTGGACGAATCAGGTCAGCATAAACAGAACCGAGCCCAGAGATTCTGGAACAAACCGAGAGTCGCTCAGAGTCGTGTTAAATTGGAGCAGAGCTGCATCGTTTCAGAGAGTCACCATCAGGTTCTGCTTCAGGTGGGCAGCAGTCCAGACGTGGTGAGACTGAAAACAGAACTGAACATTAGAGTTAGTTTCTACAGTGGATGCAAAAATTTTAATTAGCTACAGTGGATGCTATCATTAGCATTAGCTGCTACTGTGGATGCTAACATTAGAGTTAGCTGTTACAGTGGATGCTAACATTAGCATTAGCTGCTGTGGGTGCTAAGATTAGTTGGAACAGTGAATGCTAACATTAGAGTTAGCAACTACAATGGATGCTAACACTGGAGTTAGTTCCTACAGTGGATGCTAACATTAGAGATAGCAGCTGCAGTGGATGTTGACATTAATATTATCTGCTACATGTTTAGCATTAAGATGTTGTTACAGATGTCATATCACATTTTTTTCTGACAAACTAAAATGTTCTCTGCTAAACCATCTAGCGACCATCTTCCATAGACTGTCATGGCGTCATTAAGGAGCAGCAGGTTGTGCCGTTAGCCGCTACACTCTCTTCACATCGCTAACCGATCACACATGAACGCTATCGATCTATGCTAGCTACATTAGCAGTTCTTGACTTGCCACCAGTCGGCGTGTCATAGTGAGAACGGAGGGTGACGTCAGCATCAAGCCAACTGGACCTCCTAACTGCAGTACCACCGTTCAACCCAAAGCGGCAGCACTGAGACGGTTTCAGGCTAAATTATTACAGAATCAAATGAATTTACACAAAAATCACAAATTCCACAGAAAAGTAAAGGTAGAATCACAAATAACCTTTTTAGACAATTTATCAAGAAACATTGATTTGGAGTAAATTCCTTTAAATCAGATATTTTATTTAATGATCTGAAACATTTCGGTTTGACCAGTAGAGGGCGTCAATTCTTCTTCACAGCTCTGAAGCTGTTAATGCTCAGGTTGCATTAAGTCCAGTATGACCAGTAAGCCACTGGAGGCAGACTGGGAGCTGCTGGGCAAACTGGGAGCTACTGGGCAAACTGGGAGCTACTGGGCAAACTGGGAGCTGCTGGGCAAACTGGGAGCTGCTGGGCCACATTTTTGCTTTGAGAAGCGGTTCAAAGATGGCTGCCCCGCTGTGTTCCTGGTCAGCCAGACAGGAAGAGCAGCAGAGCCGAATGTGAAAGGCAGAAATGTTCTGGTCGGGTTCGGCCCAGGGCGATCAACAGCAGGGAGAGAGAGAGAGGCCTGTTTGATGTGAGGATCTATTATTCATGTCTGAGCTGCAGACCAGCAGCAGGTTCTGCTTGGAGGAACCAGCCCGCTTTCCGCTGCAGCAGCAGATCAGCGGCCATGATGGTGAAGCAGCAGAACCTTCAGAACCACAGCCTAGACTATTATTCACGTCAACTTGGTAAAATCTCGTCTATGACCTGCTGTTCCAGAATCAGCTGGGAGTCATTTACTGGATCATTTCAGATCTGCCGTCAGAAGCTGTGGTTAATCGGACCTTACCAGGTTCTGCTGGGTTCTGGAGCTGCTAGCAGACAAAGCTCAGCCTCACCGAGCTAAAACAGAAGCTTTGGATAAATATAACGGCTGCCAAAGGAATTATTATTAACATTAATCCAGACTAAAGGTGTTATTGATATGAAAATCTGACTAAATAATAAATGATGGAAGAATTTCACACCTGAAAAGACAATAATTTGGATTATTTAGCAAATTTTATTTATATAGCACATTTTCAGCAACAAGGCAATACAAACAAAATAAAAAAAGGAAAGAAAAAGAAGAAAGAGCAAGAAAAGAAAATTAATCGAATGTTGATCTGTAAACTACCTGTTCAGGGTTGCTAAGTTTCCTCTGGTCTAATCCGAGTTGGAAGAACAGGAGTCTGAAAATAATCTAACAATGTTGATCCACAAGTGTCTCTGGATCTAAATAGTGAGATGCAGAGACCAGTCAGAAGAGAAATAAATGTCACAATTTCAAATTAAATATTAAGTTAAACTAAATAATTATGCTAGCTATTTAGTTGAGCTCTGAGCTAAATATGTGGTCATAAAACATGATTTTTAATGATCTTTCATGTGAATAAAGTGAGTATTAGGTTATGAACTATTTCTAAATATTTAGTTACAAGCTAAATCTGTCCAAGAAATATTATTCTGATTTTTAGCTAAGAAATAGTTAATTATTCCATAAAGCCGCGCTAAGTTTATAGTTAGCCCATAGCTTGGTAACTATTTCTGAGCTAAATTAATATATACACAGGCCAGCTAGCTCAGGGTTAGTTAGCTTGAGCAAGCTAACTATATCTGTGCTACATATTTAGCTCAGAGTTAAATATTTAGTTGCTGAGACGTTTCTAAATGAATGGTGAAAATATGACTGTAAAATGAATCTCCATTAGTTTTTTTTTTACATCGGCCTAAATAAAAATAAATGCTGTTAGCTCGTAAACAGGTTTTCTGCTCATTGCTCCTGTTGTCCACACGGGGGCGCTGCAGCGGGGAACGTCTCTTGACACTGCATGTTGAATAAAACTCACCTGCTGGATGGAACTCAGATTTAGATGAGCTGTTGTACATTTTAAAACCTTCAGGGAAGATATTTAAAATAAAAACTGACATTTTAGTGGAACTATAAACATGGAGGTAATATTATTTTATGCTGCAGCTTCGTCCCATAAAACATCAGTAAAACTTTTACCTTTGTTTCCATAAAGTTGGCTTTTGTTTCTGCTGATTCATTTTCAGGAGATGGAGCGGATCAGACAGAAATCTGCTTTTTCGTAAAATATTTCAGATTCAAATCCATAAACAGGTGAGAGTCCACTATTAAAATCCATGCAAATGAAGGCTTTTATTGTGAAAATAATTAAATTATCATAACTCTGAACTCACTGAAGTCATTTTTCTGGGAGATGCTAACTGCTAAGCTAACGCTCAGATCTCCTCCTCATCATCACTGCAGCTCTGGGTTCAGCGATGAAGGCTGCTCCCTGCTGACCTCTCTGACCTCAGCAGCATGACCTCAGGGAGCTGGAGGTCACCAGACGGAGGAACATCTCCTCTGCTCCATCAGATCCCTGAAGCTTTCATTCTCCAGGTTTCCTCAGTGGGTGATGATCCTGAGCAGAAACGAGTCAAACATGTTTGTGTCAGTGGGAATGTGTGAGCAGAGCGCCCCCTGGAGGCCGGAGGCGGCGCCGCAGGAGGCCTCAGACCGCAGGAGAAGATGGAACCATTGCACTCCGGAAGTGAAAGGGGGGCTATTTCCTATATTATCCGTGGTCTCCCATTTTTATTTTATTTTGAAATCATGTTCACCTTTAGGAAGGAGTCTCACTCTCAGCATGTATTTGAACTTCTCTCTTTTATTTATTTCAGCGCAGCTCACAGTTTTTTTTTAGCAAATTCTGTAGCTTTCGGTGTACTTCTAAATCTGCTCATTAGTCGCATATTTTCGGGCCTGCTACTGCCTCTAGTGGCGTGGGGGTGGTAGTACAACTAATCTAATTACTTTAATAAATTAGAATACCAAAAAGTCTTTATTATTTACTATTAATTTCGGCATTACTGGCACCATAAAAGATAAATTCTTATAAAACACCATATTTTTTCATTTTCTTAAGGATGTAGATATAATTAAATGACATAAACATATACATTATAAATAATACCTATACATCCCCATCAATTATAGGAGGAACAAAATAAATAAGGAGACATGAAAAACAACATGATCAACTATAATAAAAAGACCATTTGCAATGTATATGTAAGAAATTTAATTGAACAAAAATCAATAACAAACAAATTAATTAGGTACAGAAGAATAACAACCCAGGTTGTTACAACCAGGGATGTTAAATAGACCTAAGCAAACATTTTGTTTTTATGGTGCCTTGGATTAGGAGAGGAACTGCAGACCCGCTAGAACCTGACGGGTCTGCAGGTTCTGACCCTGCCATCTCCTGTACCATCAGATGTTCTGTATCATCTCCTAGGCTGATATGGTGCAGAACATTTTGCTATGATTACGTTTCTTATTGTGCTTTTATCGACTATATTGGTTTGATTATTTGCTTATTTAATGTATAACAATATCAGCCAAAATAATACAAATGATCATTTAAAGAACAAATCATACATTAGATTAACAGTAAATACATAAATACTCCCTACTTTAAAAGGTTTGTTAGGGCTTTCTGTAGGTTTATATTGAAATGTTGATATATTTTATGAATTCGTTGTTCAGTGGTCATTTAATGTATTATTTATGCACCAGACCCAGACCTGCAGCCCAGGGGCGGTTCTAGATGGGGGCCAATGGGAACCAAAGAAGTTATACTAAATAAATGTCTTATGTTAATACTCAGTGGTGGATTTTTTAACCATCACAATTTTACTTTAACAATGAATTAAATGTTCTAGTGCTGCACTTTTAGCTGCTGTATAGGGTCAGACTTTCCATCTGCCAGGGATCTGCAGCCTGGATCTCTGGAGACACAAGTGGCTCTTTGGCTCACTTCATATATCCAATGATGAAATATTGCTCTGTCTTTTTTGTTTCAGAAAACACTGACTATCCTGGCCTTCGTGGTAAATTTGGTCTAGAACCAGCCTCCAAACCTAACTCCTTATTTATATAAATTATTCTGGTAATATTATTTGGAATACCAGAATGTTCACATAACTTTTATACTTTTGGCTGAGGACACATTTTGAATATTAAATCAGGTGTTATGGTCAGTTACTCAGTACTTCGGTAGTTTGCCAAATACTTTTTACACTTGCTTAATTAAACATATTTTAAAAAGTATGCTACTCTGATTGGAGTACAGTTTTGGGATACTCTAACCAACTATGCATTAATTATTGCCCTACAGATCACTTTTTAAAATCAAAAATCACCACCATAAAATAATGTCCATCACCGCAGCGGACGTCCCACCACATGGTTAGGACGACGCGCCGTGGGGGGCGTCCCTTATTTGGATTTCTGAAAGGTGGCAACCCTAGGAGAACAATTAAGATGACATGTTTCCTGAAAGCTTAGCTGAGCGTTAGCTTAGCGCTGCTGGCCTCAGAGGGTCCGGCAGAAATAATTATGTCCACATTAACTGGAATCAATCAGTTCTTCCTGCAGGCTGTTTTCATAGAAACTGATTAATTGATTTGGTGAATTGATTGGCAGGCGGCCGCCTGGAAACCAATCCCTGAGTGTTTGTGTCACCGCGGATCAGAAAACGATTAAATTATGGGATGTTTAAATGAAATGAGAGTCTTTCTAACGACCAGACGGCGAGTTAGCCAAATACCGTCCATCTTTTAAAAACCATAACTTATTACAGTTCACACAGAATGGCCTGTGCTGTAGTCCACTTCCTACTTTTGGAGCAGCCTTTGGTCTGCTTGGCGTTCACATTCAAACTGAACCCAGACCTCGGTCCTCGGTTTGGAGTCTGGTTCACCAACCGAACCAGACTTTGACTAGGCAGATGGACTGGAGTTGCATTAAAGTGGGCTGAACAGGACTGGAGGGACGATGCAGCTGGATTAATTTGATGAGTTTTGAATTTGATTTAATATGCAAGATATTCAGCAAAATGAATGAATGATGAACGGATGAAGTGATGGATCATATTCAAAATTCAAATTCAGAAATACTTTATTGATTCCAAATAATATGTGCTGCTGTTTGTCCTGATCTCTCAGCCGTTTCTGTCCTGAAATGAATTTTCTCTGCAGAAATCCTGTTTGATTTCCAAATATATTTTTTCTCAATTAATGCTGCAGATTAATCAAATGATATCCGTCCTGGAAACTGATTTAATTTTCAGTTTCAGGGAAGAGAAAAGCAGCTTTTAATTAAAAAGCTGGTTGACGAGGCGGCGGGCCGATAGCATCGCTGCGTCTGCTGACCTCAATCTGTGCTGCTCACCTCTGCAAATGAATCTGGAGGCAGAAACTCACTTTGGGAGGAACGTCAGATTAATTCATTAAACCTGGACCCAACTTTTCCTCCCACTGATCCTCTCAACTGTTCACACTGCGGCCGGAGACGGAGCTGCTAACAGCATGGAGCGGCTAACAGCGTGGAGCTGCTAACAGGAGCGGCTAACAGGAGCTGCTAACAGCAGCTCCTGTTAGCAGCTCCATCACATCTATCAAAGCAACTGTGATGGACCGAGTTAAAACAGAAGGAGTCACAGGATATTAATTAGAAAAATAGGGTTTTTTATTTTAACCCAAAGATTATAAATGACAAAGGATATAAACTGAGCTCATAAAAGAGGCCAAAGAAACAAAACTGAACTCAGGCAAAAAATGTAAACAAACTGGCTGCACAAAGAAACATAACTGACCTAACAAAGAAACGACACACAGGGTTTATATACTGGCTGATCAGACCAATTAAGACACAATAGGGATAACTAAACAGAATACAATTACAAATAACACAAACAACTAACAGCACAGCTGAGTTTGGCTAAACTAAAACCCAAAAAATGAAAATCAAAAATATTAAAGTTTAAATACTAATATTTACTTAAATACAAAACTTATCTAAATAAAGAAACTACAAATTTCCCCTGCCAGCAGGAACTAGTGGTGCAGTCCAATCAGCATTTAAGCCTGCTGAGCCCTGGCATCCATCTTTTGTCTGGCCACTCCAAGGCAGGTAAGTACCGGCAAAAACAAAGTTAGTTGCAAAAAAATTAAACTTTAAAGTTGATATAAATACACGTTAACTAAATGTACGCGCCAACATAAAAAACAAATGTATCCAAATCAACTAATAAATGTTTTACTGAAACTAAAGTGTTGTATTTGAATGAAAAAAATAAATTATGAAAACTAAATTGTGCATAAGAGTTACCGACTTCTGCCTTCAGAGTGTGGCCATGGATTTGGCCATCACAGCAACATTTATAAACAATTGTATTATTTAATTGTACTGATGCATAATTCAGAATATTTAAATATGCTT